AAACAAAATTTGTTGAATTAGTCCTTCATATAATACCCAAATTCTCAAAAGTGAGTTTGGTAATTACTCAAAAGGTATAAAAAGGAACTCAAAAATATTAAATTTAAAAGTAAAGACCTTTTTATTGATTTAAGCCCTAATTTATGGTTTTTCCAAATTTGTATCTTGTCCGCTAGTCTGCTAATATCTCCCAAAAGCAAACGAATATTAAATTTTTTTTACAAATACAAAGAGAACTACATTTTTCTTCATAGCAGCAAATTCAAAGTTCAAATTACAGGTTAATCATCCTTTTTGTTCCTCCATATAGAAAACTTTATTCTTTTAGACTCAAATTACTTGTGCTTGTAAGTAACGTATAATAGATTGTTTTGATTAGATTTTTATGGTGATGGAGCACATATATATATATATATATATATATATATAATTTTCTTTAATATTTATGTAATTTTACCTGTTTATAAATATTAATTGTCATTATATTATTTTATAAAATATTAAAAATTAAATACCTATGGGGTTTACGCCCCGCTGAGGCATATGTAAAACGCCCCGCCTTACGCCCACGCCTTTTAAAATACTGGTTAGCTCTTATCATGAACAAGATTATTTCTCCTAATCAAACGAGATTTCTCAAGGGTAGATCTATTTCAGACAATGTTATGCTCACTCAGGAGATGGTTCACGATATTAACATGCCTAATGTGAATGGCAATATGGTCTTCAAACTGGATATGGCCAAAGCCTTTGACAGGGTACCTTGGAACTTTCTTTGCCAGGTTATGAGACAATTGAGATTCTGTGATATTTGGATTGATATGATTGCTAGAGTGGTCTCCAACAACTGGTATTTCATTATTATAAATGGAGTTAGGCACGATTTTTTCAAATCCTCTGGGGGGGATAAAGCAAGGTGACCCTTTGTCACCTTACTTATTTGTTATAGGGGCTGAATTACTATCCAACTTAATGGACTAGTTATTTCAGGATAATTTCATTCCTTATTCCATGCATATGGGAAGTCCTCTTATTAATCACCTCAGATTTGCCGATGACACTATTCTTTTTTCATCTGGAGATCTCCTCTCAATTGCTATGATGATGAAAAACTTGGATACTTATGAACAAGATTCTGGTCAAATGGTCAACAAGAAGAAATCAACCTTTTTGGTTTCTACTAAAACTCATGTTCATGTTGTTGAGGATATCAAAACACTCACTGGTTTTTCCTATTCCTTATTTCCCTTCAAGTACTTAGGGTGTCCTATATTCCTTGGGAGAAAGAAAGTGCATTATTTTGGTTCCATGATTTCTAAGATAGTCAATAGAACTCGGGATAGTTAGGAAAATTATTGTCAGTAGGTGGAAAAACTATTCTCATTAGGTATGTCTTGCATTCTATGCCTTTGCATATCGTCTCTGTGGTCTATCTCCCTAAGACTATTCTTAATCATATTGATAAAGCTCTTGCTAGTTTCTTCTGGGGTTCATCTGATGGCAAGAGGCAATATCACTGGTTTTCTTGGAAAAATCTTTGCTTTCCTAAAAATGAGGGGGTGTTGGGTTTAGATCATTGCATGACATTTGCACTACATTCGCTGCTAAAGCATGATGAAATTTTAGAACCTAGAAGTCTCTCCTCTATGTATTTTTGGAAGCTAAGTATTGTAAAAGAGTTCACTCAGTTGCGAAAAAAGAAAAATTACAATCAATCGCACATTTGGAGAAGACTTATGGATGCCAAAAACGAATGTGAACAACATATCTTATGGAAAGTTGGAAAGGGTAACTTGTCCTTTTGGTGGGATAACTGGTCTAATAAAGGTGCCTTAGCGAATATTCTTCATCAAAGGAACAAGTCTAAGAAAGTAAGAGTATTTGAATTCTTTTCTAATAGCCAGTGAAACTTGGATAAGCTATATGCTAATCTGCCTGTAAATCTGATTCCACACATTCTTTCCATTAAGTTTTCTACTGATAAGCAAGACCAACCTGTTTGGACTCCTGATCACACGAGAGTTTTTTCTTCCAAATCAGCTTGGAGTACTCTCAGGAAATCCAAAGGCTCATCAATGACACTGTCTAAGATTTGGCACAAAAAATTACCATTCAAAGTGTCTTTTCACATGCTCAGACTATTAAATGGCAAGCTGGCTACAGATGATTCTCTAACTAGATTTGGGGTGCATGGTCCATCAAAATGCTATTGTTGCTATAATGCTAAAGAGGAAGATGTTAACCACTTATTCAGTCAAGGGCAAGCTATTGGGTTAGTATGAAAGTATTTTCAAGATGTCCGTGGACTGTCAATGCCTAATGCAGACAATATCAAAATAAAACTCATGAGGTGGTGGCTTCTTAAATCTTCAAACAAGGCTCATGAACTGATCATGCAGTGTCTTCCTTCTGTGATATACTGGGAAATTTAAAAATATCGATGCACCTATAAATTTGAAGGCTTCAGAAGATCTCCCAATAGCATCATTCATCAAATCACCTACCTAATGCAGTTGATTCTCTCCACCCAATTTCCTTCACTAAACTTTTGCTCTTCATTTCCTAGTATTTATTATCTGGTGGAAAGACTCAAACCTCAATTAGTCATCACTCTAATACATTGGGATAAGCCAATTGATAGGGTTTTCAAGCTCAATGTGGATGGTTGTTCTAAAGGAAATCCCGGTAGTGCTGGGTGTGGGGGAATTCTAAGAGATCACCTCAGCCAATTGATCATGGCTTTCTCTTCTTATCTAGGTGTTACCACCAACAATTATGCAGAGGCACAAGCTATTAAAACGGGATTGAGATGGTGCATCGATCATGGCTTAAATACTCTAGAAATTGAATCTGACTCTTTGATTTTGATCAAAATGATAAAAAGGGACATATGCGCCTCCTGGGAGATCAAGGATGTTATTGATGATATTCATTCTATGTTAGTTGATGGTTCCTTCCAATTTAGTCACATATTCAGGGAAGAAAATATTCCAGCTGACCTTCTAGCCAATCTTGCTGAACATGATTACATCAGTACTTTCTTCAATGATGCTATAAGCTTACCAAGGAAGATTATAGCCACATTGGAGAATGATGCAAGGAGTCGTCCTAACTTTAGAATTCGGGTGCGAAAGAACACCTTCATATTCGACCCCGGCTGAATGAATTCTTTTGGTGGTACTAAGCATTGAACTTAGCCCTTATTTTTGAAAGCTTTCAATGGTAACAGGAGAAATCCTCCTGTGATGTATGTTGCATATTTATTTATGTCAAACAAATCCCGAAAAAAAGAAAGAAGAAGAGGGCCTTTTCTCTGTTATATAAAACATGATTTGGACACGTTTGACATCTTTGTTGTTACTGTCATTATCTTTATCATTTCCTCCAAAGAAAAAGAGGTTAATGGAATAAACTTTAGTAGCTTACCAAAAATAAAAATAAAAAATAAAAAATTACACTGATGGTGTAATAATCAGTATATAAAACTTACCATTGCATACCATAAATACATATGGGTAAATATTTTAGGAACCATTTTTAAACGTAAAGTATTATAACAATGATAAATTATTATGTATGCTTACCTCATTAATATATTATTTGCGAATAACAAATTAACATGGGTTGACGTATCCATATAGTTATGATAAGGCTTTTTCTCGTGATGTCAAGCGCTAAAATTCTAGGATAGCCATTATCGAATCCCAAAATTAATGATTAGTGAAACTGGAACTAGGCTCGCTATTGTGTTAAGGAAAATGAAAACATGAACCAAGAAATTAAAAAAAGAAGAAGAAAAAAAAAGAAGAAATACAGCCCGATGCAGGGTCCGGGATGAACCAAAATACTACAAAGCAGAGGCACATCCAGGATTCTGCTGTCGCTGGTGCACCATGACATTCAATATAAATTTATCACTGCTCATAAAGATTGGTACGAGGGCCTATACTAATATCTGACTGTCTTTCGATGACATTTCAAATATATATGGACTTTTTGCCGAAGTTTTAACAGTCTAACCCATTAGTGATATTGTCCGCTTTAGGATTAGGCCCGCACAACTTAAAAATGTGTCACTAGGGTCTAAGGTTTGTCTACTTATATACCCAGCATATCTCCCGTATTTTTTCGATATGAGATTCACCTAGGAAGTCACAGAAATTTCCGGGTGCCGGTGACCATCAACTCTTCATGTGCGTCTGCCTCTGCTACTAAGTAATATATAGATGACAATCATAGAGTTATTGAAGAAGCGAAGGAATAATTGTTGATAACCTTTACCTTCGAAAGCATAACACATAAATCAGAATGCAGCAAAGTACAGTAATTTATCTTTTTATTTTTCGGCAAGACCTTAGTCGCATTCAAGGATAAATTTCAGCTTTCTTTTGAGCATTGCGCATGTCTCCACACCACTATTTACTACATGTTGATAGCCACATTACGGATTTTTTTTTTTTTTTTTGTGTGTGTGTGTTTAAACCTTAATGACTTGTATAAACACAAATTTATTTCTCTGTGTAAATATTCAGTTTTTCTTTTCTTCTAGCATTCGTTTATCTAAATCTAAATTAAAGATTAAAACAATGGTATGACCCAAATAAAGTTCAAAATGTGAAAGACCAATTCTATCCAAGAAACCGCCCGTGGAAATTGGATCGACAATATAACAAAGTTATAATTGGAAATTAATAAACACGAAACTACGTAAAAGCAGAAGAAACACTTCTTTTTTTGGCTACAAAAGAGTAGTAACTTTTACTATATTACTGATCACAATACAACTCGGGACATTTCTAGGGTGAAATTTGTCCCTTAAAGTCTAGTACATAATAATCCAGGAAAGGATAACATAAAAGAACATAAATCCAGAAAAGGATAACATAAAAAGAAAACATAAATCCAGAAAAGGATATCAAATTAACTTTTTCAGTTTTATTCAGCAATTCGGTAGTTCTTCCAATGAATACTACTAAAATCTAGGTTTAATACACCAAACTTTAAAATTGCATGCTGGATATCATGGAATCAGCTAGACCATCAACATTGGCAAAACAAGATGGGCAACCATTATTTTCCATAAGCCACGTTCTAATGCAATTGATATGAAACATATGAGAACATGACATCCTTGTAACTTTCAAATTACCAACGAGCTCATTTTTGCAAAGCAAGCAATTCCCTTCGCTAGAATTAGTTGATATGATAACACAATTGCTATTATTTTTCATCAGAACGTACCGATAAAGCAATATAACTTTAACAGTTAATTGCAGTACAGGTCGACCATCGACCAACACCAAGCAATCCCTAGAATTTTGTGCCATCGCATTCAGTTCATCGAAGATCTTTTTGCAGTTAATATCTGAGGCATGCCAATTCTTTAGCACCTGCAAATATGAACATTAGCTAAGTATATAATCACGATATTTCATTTTTTGAAATCCCTCCCTCCTTTTTGTATTGACGTAGTATAATTTATACAAGACTGGTAAGGTATATTACTAGTAAAACGCGAATTTTAAATTGAATTATTTTTAAATATAAAAAAGTGGCATTCTTTTTTAAAAGGACTAATAAGTAAATAGTGCTACATAAAATGAAATCAAATGGAGTATATACATTTTGAACCAAAGGGGAAAATTTTAAAAAATCTTTAGCACCTTGAAAATGGTTTCACGAGCCTCTTCTTTGTTAGCAAAATTATGGGTTTCCAGGGTCAAACTGGTTGAGATTTTTGGGCTTTTTACTACCATTGCAGGGTCTGGTGGTAGCCTTAGATTCATGTTCCAATTATGATAGGTTGTGCAAAAGAAGTTGATTTGAATGAATTTTGGTGCATAAGAAGAATTGACAAAACCAAGTCTACGACTGGGTTTTTCAAGTTGGTAACCAAATCTGGGGTTTTGGTAAACGTAAACCTGCATTCTGGTTTTAGATACTACTATATTTCTAAACCTATTTTTATCCAATTGTAGTAATAAATCCATCTATTAGACTGTACTATATATAATATTTTGGTCTAACTTCCAATTATAATTCATATGTGGGCCTAACAACTACTTGCCATAAATTTGTTGCTTTATTATGTCTCATTTTTAATTTATTGCCTTATTTTAAGTAACTACTCTTAATTAGTTATCAAAGTATTAAATATGAATCTAGCTAAATTATAAGAAATCAGATCATAAAGATCACTATAGTTGATTAGTAGAATTATCGTGGGTTAGGACTTAGGATATACATGCCATTAAGTTATACACTTTCTTTTTTCTGTTTTATTTTTTGGATAACGTACGGTAGGCTATATCAATCAGCACAAAACTAGCCAATTCATGATGTTTTAGACTCGTGAATAAGGGAAAGAGAAAGCAAAAAAGAGAAAAATGCCTCAGATGAAATTTGATTGCTACACCATTTGGGATAATAAAGTGAAATTGTGACAACTAAATTGCATATATAACCTGTTGGTATACCCTATATCTGTATACTGATAGTTATAGTATAAACAAGTGAAATTAAGTCAATATTTCAGTTAAACTAATAACTTTAATCAAAAAGATATTGTAGCACTAGAATGTCAAGAAAGTCAAGTTTGTGCATTGAAAAATTTTCGTTTTTTCAAATGAAACAATGTTTTACATATAGAAGAATCGTCTTTAGATGTCAGTCTCCGAAAGAGTTCTTAAGAGCAATTTATTAGTCTTCTTAAAACAGCACCACTTTTCTCTTGATGCATAAAAACTTTCTAAGCTAAAGTTGGTAACATTCTGAAAAACAATTTGAATTTAAGTGCACGTGCTGTAACAGGTTATATGTCATGAGTTAATCTCACATTCGACTCTGTTTAGAAAAACTAAATACTTGAATAAAGAGGACATCGAAAAATAGATTTAACTTATATCCACTAATAGTGCTGTGATGAAATTTCAATTTACGCTATTACTTTAATTTAACCTTAACTAGATATATCAAATTGGGATTATTCTTGTATGTAAATTTTTCTATCCCGAAAGCCTCGTTTATTCAAAGGGTTTCTTATTAGAAACTTTGTTTTTTTGGTTTTGGCTTATAACTAAGTGTTGGTTGGAGCGGCAAGATGATATTAAGTATATAAATTAATTAACAAAGACTAAGAATATAATAAATTGCAAGATAGAGGAAAATGAAGGTTTCTTGCCTTATTTTTCCGATAACAAAGTATTGCCTTTTAGTTAATCTGATATTGTAACAAATTTTCATACTTTAAGCGTAGGATAAGTTATCAAGACCCACGTAAATGGCATGTATTGTCCGCTTTGGACTAACACACCTCATGAATTTGTCTCCGGCTTACGCTATTATTGAGACCAAAAGCGCACGTACCATGTGAATTTGTGTTGTACCTTATAAAAATCTTTATTTTTTTCTCTCAGTTCGACGCAGGATTTACCTTAGGTGACATGTACATCTCTTCTTGTCTATGACACGTATTATTCGCTCTGGGCCCAACATACATCACGGATTTGTCTCCTGAGCTACACCATCATCGAGCCCAAAAACCGTGTGTACCATGCAAACTTGTGTTATGCCTTATAAATTTTCACTTTACTCTTCCATTTCGATAATAGGATTTGCCTAAGATAACATGTGCACCCTGTCTCTCAATCTTGCTTGATCCGCCTTCATCAGCCCGCCATCTGCTATGGGCATCCCTTTAATTTTTTTAGATAGTAACTAGGAAATACCTATTAAACTCTACCTTTTTTTTTTTTAATAACAAACACTTTTCAAATAACAAACAATTTTGATACAAAAAGTATACACTAATTAATTAGTAAAGAATTCAATTCACCTATTACCCACTTTTTAGACCGATTTCCTCATCACCCGATGACCCATTTTAATGATTGTAATGTCAGTAACCTATACGCAAGTACATTTTCTCATAAATATGAAAAGAGCTAAAAATGATAGTATAGTGTAATATAATGATAGTTAACAGAATGTTAGACTATATTTCATTTCAAAGGAATCATGAGTAGTAGGAGTAATTGAAGGAGCTGAATTAACTGAAATTACCTCATGACTCAATATGGACTTCTACTCAAAGTTGTTATTATCAAATCAAATCCAAGTATTCCCCCAAACACTTCAGGAGGGCATACAACCACAAATTAAGGTATTAAGCCCTCTTGAAGCGGTTAGGGGACCTCTAGGGATCACCTTGACGTACAAAATCAGAATCAAATGAGCTTTTATCATTTTTGCATCACACGAGATCTCTATGCTATTGAACTCATCATCTTATAACACATTTATTATATTTTACGACAAGGGCTAACAAACAATGATCAATATATCTAGGGATGGCAATGGGGCGATGCGGGTGCGGCACGGTGCGGGTTTAGACATATGCGGGGCGGGGCGATTTTATACATATGCGGGTGCGGGGGGTTAAACTAAAAGAAAAATAATTTTTTTCGGGTGCGGGTGTGAGTTTAAATACTCATTTTTCGCAAAATTATAAGAATATCGTTCATCAATTAACGCAAAATTATTCGAGCATTTATAAAGAAAATTTCACAATAAGCTTATGACACATATTTCTTTTATTATTTCAAATATTTGTAAATCGCATTTTAATATTCTGAATAAAACGGCTTTTCAGAAAAAAGATAATTGGGTTCATATATTTATAAAGTCGTCTGATGGTATTCAACTTCTTTCCATAATATCCATGGAAATAACAAATATCAATGAAGAATAATACAAATATTTAAAATTACAAATTAAAATGAAGATACAAAAAGAAATGAAGCGGTAAGCTTCATGATCGGATCCATCTCTTCGTCAACTACCTCGTTTGAATCTGTCAGCTTGCCCAAAAAGGAATTGTGTTAATGCAATTTGATGAGGTGAATGTGGCTGTAAGAATGTCGCTGTAAGATTGCTTAAGAAAAAACTTTTAAGCAAGTGAGCAAATTTCGCATGAGTTTAAATAGTCATTTTTCACATAACTAAAAAGGTTGCGGGGCGGTGCGGGTCGGGTGGACGCGGGTGTCGTGTGGGGCGGGTAGATGCGGGTTAAAAGAGCTATGCGGGACGGAGCGGGTTGAAATTTTGCGGGTTAAGAGAGAACACGCCCCGCCCCGCACCACTTGCCATCCCTAAATATATCCGGCCCATTTTTCATCTATGACTACTATTATTAGTTTTCATATTCTAGCTAGTCCTTCACTATTATAGCTTTGGTATTTATAATCTCATGTTCAAGCTTTTATTTTCCCTCCTAAGAAAGAAGATTAAGGTAAAAAAAGTTTCATCCGAAATTCCTTCTTAAAGCATGAAGTATAATGAACGTGGTTGCAAAATTGGCCAATGTGAAAGTAAGAGAATATTTATAAAAGTAAGTGGCCATGTAATGCAACTTCCAGTATGACTTTTGCTTCTCCTATATATCATCTCCAGATTCCAGAACCTATCCCTTTCATCTCCTATTTTCCTTTCATTTTCATATTCTTGAATTCTTTTGTGTTTTGTAATACGCATGTAGGGATTAAGCTTGTAATATAAGATACTTAACACAATTTTGATGAAAGTCTGTTGGGTTTTTAAAAGATGGGGCAGCAAAAAGATAAAAAGTGTTGATTGAAAATATCTCTCAAAAAAACTAAAATATCTCAACTAACTTAAACAATCTAATAGAAATTTAAAATTGAAATTCAAAAGGGGAGAAAGAATGGAGGACCATACTTTTATTGTTAGGACATGTACAGTATCTTATGCAAGCCTTCACTTGGATAACAATGGAGACCAGATTCAATATTAAAACCTCAAGGAATATATTCTGTACATTGTGACCGCATTGTACCAAGGATTTCTTGTTGTACCCTAGAGTTCAGAAAGGCCATTTACCTTTTGGCTGAGTATATATTTAAATTTAATGGATTCAACCTTACACTGAATTTATTATACTGTTAAAATTATGGATTTAGATCTAACATTTGAGAAGATTTAAGTAGGCTTTTACACATGCATGTAATTATTCTCAACGTTGAAAACTTTGAATTCAAAACTAAAAGGCTACGGCCACATTGCACCCCACCAGAATCAATTCAAAGTTCGTCGAGGTGGAAGTTGCACGTACACAATCTGATTGATTGAGCATTCCTTTCCCGGGATTTTTTTTTTATTAACGTAACACGATAGAAACACAAGTTCCACAATGTAACTTATTCTTTGTTTTCTAAACTTAGACAAAATAGGAACTAATTTTGTTAGAACAATGACGGCTAAGTGCTCTATGTAGCACCACCACTGTGTTTTGTTATTAACTATTAATTAATTCTAGTCTTGTTTCTAACCAATATGGGCAGCTCTGCTCTGGTTAAAAGCATTAGCAGAAGAGTATATTAATATAAATATTCTAACATGAAAACTAAAATTCTTAAAAATCTAAAATATCCAATTCAAAATTTTAACACAGCCAGTCAGCCACAATGGTTTTAACCTATATTGCTCGGATTTTCCGAAAATAGTATCGGGTGTATGTCGGATCCTCCATGATTTTGGAGGATCCCACACGGATGCAATAACATTTTGGAGAGTCCGCACATGATATAGTTATAAAGGAACCAGTACTCTTTATCAAACTTTTTAAATGTTCTTATATATTTAATGCTAAAAAATCCATATTCCTAATAGAAACTACATCAACACTAAATAAATACTAACATAAATCAGAAACAAAAGCTGCTCCTGAGTCAGAATACAACAACAACAAACTCAGTATAATCACACATGT